ATCAGGGTGATCCCTGATCTCCCTTCCTTCCGCCGCGCCCTCAAGACGTGGTTGTTCCAGCTTGCGGGACTGGCCTAAGGGATTTTAAAGGGGTTTTAATTACTTTTAATCTGACAAATTTAAATATTTCTTTTTAATCAAATTTTAATTAGGTGTATAATATGTTAGTATTTTATCCAATTGTCAGCCGCCCTGAGTCTGCAAGGAGAAGGGCGGGATATAAATGTAATTAATAAATAAATAAATAAAATAAATAAATGTAAGAAGTTTGGACTTTCCAGTGAAATGTACCTAAAAATTAAGATTTACCGATAATCTCTTTTTAAAATAATAATAACAATAACAACAACAACGATGATAATGATGTTGGAAGGGACCTTGGAGGTCATCTAGTCCAACCCCCTGCTCAGGCAGGAAACCCTATACCATTTTAGACAAATGGCTGTCCAATCTCTTCTTAAAGACTTCCAGTGTTGGAGCATTCACAGCTTCTGGAGGCAGGTTGTTCCACTGGTTAATTGTTCTAACTGTCAGGAAGTTTCTCCTTAGTTCTAGGTTGCTTCTCTCTTTGGTTAGTTTCCATCCATTGCTTCTTGTCTTGCCTTCAAGTGCTTTGGAGAATAGCTTGACTCCCTCTTCTTTGTGGCAGCCCCTGAGATATTGGAACACTGCTATCATGTCCCCCCTCGTCCTTCTCTTCATTAAACTAGACATACACAATTCCAGCAACCGTTCCTTGTGTGTTTTAGCCTCCAGTCCCCTAATCATCTTTGTTGCTCTTCTCTGTACTCTTTCTAGAGCAGACATGTCAAACGCACAATGTCTCGAAATTTTTTCCCCATTGCTGGCAATGAGGTGGGCGCAGTTTCATCATGACGCGTCCAGCCTGCGGGCTGGCAGTTTAACACCCCTGTTTTAGAGTCTCAATATCTTTTTTACATCGTGGTGACCAAAACTGGATGCAGTATTCCAAGTGTGGCCTTACCAAGACATTGTAAAGTGGTATTAACACTTCACGTGATCTTGATTCTATCCCTCTGTTAATGCAGCCTAGCACTATGTTGGCTTTTTTGGAAGCTGCAGCACACTGCTGGCTCATATTTAAGTGATTGTCCACTAGGACCCTGAGATCCCTCTCATAGTTACTACTATTGAGCAAGGTACCTCCTAAACTATAACTGTGCATTTGGTTTTTCTAGCCTAAATGTAGAACCTTACTTTTCTCACATTCTGTTTCTAATCAATATCTTTGATTAATTCAATATTATCTCATTTACTAAAACGTTCATTTCATTTATTCTATTTTTATTTGGTATAATATATGCTTTCATTGTATAAAATACCACTATTTTTCTTTCACTTTTCATTGTATTGTGTCATACCAATCAATTTTAAATTGATTATCTTCTTAGTGTATTTCTGGTTTAGATGATCCAACTTGCTTGATAAATTGCAATATTTTTGAAAACCTTCCAGAATAGAACTCAGTGTTAATTGAATGCAAGAAACACAACTCTGAGCCCACAATCAAAATTTTCTGTAGTGGTGTACTCACTGATAGAATTTAGTAATTGACACACACAAAAGGAAGCTCTCAAACAATTAGGATGTAGACATGATCCTATAAGTGAGGACATAATGTGGATAACAAAAGTGTCTGTTTCTGCACAAAATTTTAAAAAGAGATCTGAAATTTCTTGAACTGTAAAATTCAGATATTCTGTGTTGAGAGATTTTTTTGTGCTCTTTCTGTGTTGGCAGAAGTGGGACTAACTCTACTATTGAACAAGTGGGACTAGCTCTACTATTAGTTGGGAAAATTAATTCCTTTACAGAATAAATGTATACTGTACAACAGTTTGAGAACAGAGGATTATCAGGACCATATGAAGCAAATTAATGCTTTTAATTCATTCTTAATTGAAATGGATTGCCTGTGGGCCTATTTTTATCTGGAACTATGCCTTCTGCTGAAATTAATGGAGAAATCTTTCTTTTAAAAAAAGCTTGAGTTATGTACCACACTACATAATTGATCTCTATGATATGCTGGCTTATAACATATACTTCTTTTAGGTTCCAGTTTGGCATCATCTTGCTTCCAATATCAGCAGCAGCTTTGTTCCTTGATCAATGTGACAGTTTGGAAAACCTTAGCAGTTGACGAAATGATTGAGAGTCGGGGAAAATATGATTTCTATATTGGGCTTGTGTTGGCAATGAGTTCCAGTCTTTTCATTGGAGGGAGTTTCATCCTGAAGAAAAAGGGTCTCCTTCGATTGGCAAGAAAAGGCTCCATGAGAGCAGGTAAAATTTTGAGGGTTTTTTTTTAAAAAAATAAATATGTTTTTGATTAAATTATGTAATTTTGATTAAGCTATGTAAGATTTTTTTGCAGTTTAAAAACATCAGTTTTTAAATAGGTATTCTTTGATTTCATGCAGAATCTGGTATAAAGGACAAAATTCCAAGTGCTTATTTCAATATTTTAAAGCTAGTTTTCAGTTGTATTTTCAGCTTCTTCTAAAATCTCAAAATGCGATTTTCGTTTACATGATGCAAGAAAAGTTCCTGGGTTTTTTCATACTTGCTTTAATTATTGTGAGCATCATTTTTAATGTTGTGTAAATGATTGAAGGCTAAAGTGAATAGGATAATACAAAGTTGGGGCCAAATTTTTCAGCTTTTTAAAAAGTTTTTGAGGAGCATTTAAGATTTTCCCCCCTATAAATTATGTTATCTGTTTTGAAGTATGTATTGTATTTACTGTGTTTCCTACCTCAAAATTGCAGGAAGCTACACAATAGATGTTGAGCAAATATGATTAGCTGGTTTCTGGGGATGCACAAAGACCTGAAACCTTAGATTTCCAGCTTTGTGTCAACATCCAGCTTGAGTATCCAAATAAAAATCCAGGATCATTTCTTTTCTTAAAAGTTTACTGTTTATTGAATACATAGCATAATTATGGCAAGTTAAAACTAACTCTAAAATCCCAAGACATCAGACCATAGCACATAACAATAACCTTTGCAGCCAAACCCCCTCATGTAAACAAGTTCTCTTTGTTATGGGAAACGTCTGCTATCTTCTTCACATCTGCTAGAATGACCTTGAATGTTTTCCAGACTGCTGACTCTTAGCAAGCTTTTGTAGAACTGGAGAGGTTTCATTTCTCTGACTAACCCATTCAAAAGCAACATGCCCCCCCCCCCTATTCTAATGGAAAGATGCAAATAGGCACTTAGCTGCCAAATTTTCATTCTTGACACTTTGGTCATAAATTGTGAATGAAAGGACTCACTACATCCTTGCTGACATGGCGGTTATTTTCACTCTAAAATGCATAGAGACTTGTTTTTTCTAACATGCACACAAGCCATTGGACTTTAAATCATGCCTTATCAATTGGACTTGATAGAGACAGTTGCTTCTTTGTAACATCTTTAATGACCATCAATAATACTGACTGGCTATTAACTTGGCCAGGAATTTTTAACAAGTAGCGTGGCATTTTTACAAGAATTTGAACATGTAATTTTAAAGTATAGTAATCTGTAATAGATTATAATATTCTTTTCTTTTCTTTTAAAAAAAAAATAGGACAAGGTGGCCATGCATATCTTAAAGAGTGGCTATGGTGGGCTGGACTCTTGTCAAGTAAGTACCTGGAAAAACTAAAAACTGACTGTTAGCATAACCACTAATTCATACATTGTACTAGGTCTGGTGTAGTGGCTAAGGTACTGGCACAGAAACCAGAAGACTGTAAGTTTTAAGCCTAAAGAAAGACTGGTGGGTAATTTGGGACCAATTATTGTCTCAGCCCAACCCACCTCAAAGGCTTATTGTTGTGGGGAAAATAAGAGGCAGAAATATTTATTACACGTTTGCTGCCTTGAGTTAACAGAAAGACAGACACACACACACATGTATGTATGCATGTATGTGGCATGATAAAAATATAATAATAACAATACTAATAATACAATTTCTGAAATCAGCCAAAAAGTGATTTTAGTAGGAGTAGGCAGTAAGGCTACTGATCGAAAGGCTCGATGTTTCTAGTTGAATTAAAAACTTACTAAGATTTTTTGATTAAAGATTAATATACAGTACATAAAAATAGATCAAAAATTATAGTCTGGCATTCTTTTCAGTGAAATCCAAATATTTAATACTAGATATGGAATGATCATATCCAAAGTGGGCAAGATTTGGGCTGTTGATGGCTCCTTAACTCAAATATTACCGGTTGTGATGATTCAGGGCACGGCACAGAGGCAACGCAGTCAGCTGGCAATTCAAACTGCCCTTTAATTGCTCCAAATTTTCCCCAAATGCTCCCATGTTTCTGGCAAGCCCCAGAACAAAGTAAGGCACACACACCTTCAGCAGTCTCTGGCTGCAAGTAGTTTCACATACAGTTAGATTAGAAGAGTAATTTACTCAAGGCCACGTAGATCAGGGCTTTTCAACCTTTTCACCCATTGTACCACTTTTAGGATATGGCAATATCCAAGTACCACCAGTCGCCTAGCAAGGTGTCAAAAACTTGATGACCCCCCCCAAAGGAAAAAAGTGATAAAGTACAGGTAGTCCTCGACTTACAACAGTTCGCTTAGTGACTGTTCGAAGTTACAATGACACTGAAAAAAGTGCCCCCCAAGCCACAGCCGAGCAAGACACCTGCCTGCCCACCCGGCGGCGCTCTTCCTCCTGTCCGAGGTTTTCATTGTTGTGAGCATTTCTGTTGAGGATTGGCAGCGGGGGTGGGGGGGTGTTTGGTTTTTATTCCCCCTGTCTGCTGGGTGGTTGCAGCAGGTTCTGGTCACTTCACATGACCCTGTGACCGTCATAAATATGAACCAGTTGCCAAACATCTGAATGTAAATCACAAGACCCTGGAGATGCTGCAACATTCCAGCTGATCGGTGCTTCTTCTGGGCTCAGCGGAAGTGTCAGGATCAGTGCTGCTTTCCAGCTGATTGGTGCTTCTTCAGGGCTCAGCAGAAGCGCCAGGATCAGCGCTGCTTTCCAGCTGGAGCCTGGCGCTGATCCTGGCGCTTCCACTGAGCCCTGACAGCCCCGAAGAAGCGCCGATCAACTGGAAAGTGGCACTGATCCTGGCGCTTCCGCTGAGCCCTGACAGCCCTGCAGCTCCAAGCGTCTCTCGCTCAGGCTTGTGCGGTGCTGCCACCAGTTCAGCTCATTCCCCATCCCCACTACCTTTTCTAGGATGGTCGCATACCACCTGCCAGGTGCCAATGTACCACAGGTGGTACCCGTACCACTGGTTGAAAAGCCCTGACGTAGATAACAAGGAATGAAATGTACATCCACAAGTCTGTGGAAATACAAACTTGCCTGAGCAATTTCAGAAGAGAAGCCAAAATTCAATCCGAGGTCTTTGAACACCAAATCAAGTTTTGTCAGCCAGTCCAATGGTCAGAATTTCAGGGTGTCCAAGCAGAAATCACAACACAGAACAAGAGATCAGAGAGTTGTTTCCAAGATCAGCAACAGCACACAAAACTCCAAGAAATCAGCATTTGTTCCCGACAAATGCCCCTCCCTATAGCGTCTCCTTAAGTCTCAGTCTGCAGGTATGCCTTGTGGAGAGGGACGGCGGGGCGCTCTCCTCCTGAGTAGTTGAACCTGCCTGCGTTGTTCCCTCCTCCTCTCCACACTCTAGGATCAGGAGGGGGGGGGCTTGCTCATCACCTGAGCTCTGTCTCTCATGTTCATCCTGTCCCAACCCTGAAAGGCCCTGGTCTGCCTCGGCCTGCTCTTCCCCAAATCCCTCTGAAGCCACAGGCTCCCTCGACAGGCTCCCTCGACAGGCTCCCTCGACAGGCTCCCTCGACAGGCTCCAAATCCCTCTGAAGCCACAGGCTCCCTCGACAGGCTCCCTCGACAGGCTCCAGTTCCAGCTCATTTTCCTATGCAGATTCAGGCTCTGACAGAGGCATGACACCGGTACTACCATGCAGCTCTAAGAAAAGCACAGCTGCTTTAAGGAGTAGGCAGCAGATACAACAAAGGGTGCCTATACTGGAACTGTAGCAATGTTGTTGGCTTTGCATGTTTCTTTTTAATAGAAATGTGGGAGGTATATGACATTATTCAACTCTATCATCTCCTTGCAAAGCAACATTTTCTATGGCTAGAAAGTAGAATATCTCAAGAGCTGAGGTGGCACAGTGGTTAGAATGCAGTATTGCAGGCTGCCCACAACTTGGGAATTCGATCCTGATGGGCTCAAGGTTGACTCAGCCTTCCATCCTTTGGAGGTTGGTAAAATGATGACCCAGATTGTTGGGGGCAATATGCTAACATTGTAAACTGCCCAGAGAGGGCTGTAAAGCACTATGGGGCAGTATATAAGTGCTATTGCTATTGCTAATTGTAAAAATAGGTAATAAAAGTTATTAATCATTTACCAGAGACTATTCAGGTGCTATTCTGCATTTGCCTTCTTTTCTCTTTTACTTTCTAATTTACTTTTATCTTTTCCAAGGATGAATTTACCTAAAATAGTAGGTATAGCTGTGAAAATTGTTGTTCACCTCTTCCCTTCCCATGTCTTTTCCTCAGTGGGAGCTGGCGAAGTTGCTAACTTTGCTGCATATGCATTTGCACCAGCTACATTAGTGACCCCATTGGGAGCTCTCAGTGTTCTTGTAAGGTAAGAAGGCAGTTTTGTGTATCTCTGTAAATATCAAGAGACCTAGTTAAGCACTTGCTTTTAGTGCTGGCAGAGAACTGGGTTTCTGAGTCTGACTCAGTTGCTTTAAGTTTTGCTTTTTTGAATGTTTCAATATAATTTTCTATCTTGACGTCTTTACTACTGTCTGCCCTTCCTCCCACCCATTGCTTATAAAAAAGCCACAACATAGGTGATTTTAGAGATAAATCTTGGTACAGCATAATAAAAATTTATCAGCAATTCAGTTTAATGTTCTGTGCATAAGAGTATGCTTATATGATTGTAGATTTAATATTTTGAATTGAAATTAGATACAGGTACTCCTTAACTTACAACCAGACATGTAGCAACCAAAGTTACAATAGACACCCCCAAAAGATACTTATGACCCAGTCCTGAAGTTATGTTTGCTGCAACACCCCTGTGATTGATTGCCCTTGCAACTGACCACAGAGATGCTGCAATATGCGTACCCCGCCAGTTTCTACCCCCCATGCTGTCCCCTGGGAGCATTTCTTCTCACTAGCGCTAGTCTTAGTTCCCCATCAGAATTCCTTCTCCTGCTAGTGCTAGCCTTAGTTCCCTCAGCATGAGCTGTGTTAGTATAACGCTAGCGCAGCTCATGCTGAGGGAACTGCACTATGGGCAGAGTTATTAGGCAAGTTGTAATTTGGAGGATTAATTTTCTTATTGAACAACTACAGTGCTCTCAGTCAATCCAAAATGTTAATAAACCTCAAACCTGAATATTTAAGAAAGTAAAAGTGAGGTTTTGATTTTCTTAGGGGAATATCTATGTGTGCACAATTATTGGGAAACTATTAGTGCGCTGAATTATTATACAACTAAATGAAAAATGAAAATTTGCCCATCTCATGCATCTGTTAAAGTGAGAGTAATAAACAAACATCTCAAAAGATACAAATAAACATTTCTGACATCTCAACAAAAGAAATCAGTGACCCATATAGCCACCCTTCTTTTCAATCACAGTCATAAGCCTTCCATTCATGGGAGTCTTTCAGTTCCTCGATCTGTTGATGATCAACGTTTTGAGCAGCAGCAACCACAGCCTCCCAGACACTGTTCAGAGAGGTGTCCTTCACCCTAAATCTCCTGTTTAAGAAGGGTCCACAAGTTCTCAATAGGGTTTAGGTCAGGTGAGCAAGGAGGCCACGTCATTATTCGTTCATCTTTGAGGCTTTTACTGGCTAGCCACGCAGTGGAATACTTTGATGCATGCAATGGAACATTGTCCTACATAAAAATCTTGTTCTTCTTGAAAGATGCTGACTTTTTCCTGTACCACTGCTTGAAGAAAATGTCTTCTAAAAACTGGCAGTAGGTTTGGGAGTTGATTTTAAGTCCATCTTCAACCCTAAAGGCTCCAACTAGCTTATCTTTAATAATACCAGCCCATACCAGTATCCCACCTCCACCTTGCTGGCGTCTTGAGTCAAAGTGGAGCTTTGTTACTGATCCATCCATGGGCCCATCCACCTGGTCCATTAAGAGTCACATCTCATCAGTCCATAAAACTTTTGAAAAATCTGTCTTCGGTTATTTCTTGGGTCAGTCTTGCCATTTCAACTTACGTATCTTGTTCAGTGATGGTCGGGTTTCAGCCTTCCTTACCTTGGCCATGTCTCTGAGCACTGAAAACCTTGTACTTCTGGGCACTCTAGGCAGGTTACAATTCTGGAATATGGCAGCACTAGAGGATAATGGGTTCCTGGTACCTTCACGTTTGATTCTTCTCAAATCTTTGGCAGTTAATGTGCGTCTTTTTTTTCTCAACACGTTTCTTGCAACCCTGTTGACTATTTGCAACAAAATGTTTGATGGTTCTGTGATCATGTCCCAATATCTTAGCAATTTCAGGAGTGTTGCATTCCTCTGAAAGACTTTTTACAATTTTTGACTTTTCAGAGTCAGTTAAATCTCTTTTTTGGCCCTTTTTGCCTGAGGAAAAGAAGCTGTCTAATAATTATGCACACCTTGATATAGGGTTTTGATCTCCTTAGACCACACCCTCCCTCATTACACAAATATACATCACCTGATATGCTTATATCCACTAAGCATTCAGATTTCTACAGCTTGGAGGTGGAAAATATGCATGAAAATGATATGGTCAAAATACTCACTTGCCTAATAATTGTGCACACGGTGTAAGACTAGTATCTAGTGAGGAAAGGAAAATGGAAAACTTTGCCAGTGTTATTTTTCACTCAGAAAAAAATAAGACACTTGGGGATTGTTCCACATGGAACAGCAATGGAGCGGCCTGTCCTCCTTCTCCACCCTACCTTGAGCTCCAGAGATCTTTGATCTTGTGATGGGGGAGGGGATATGACCCAAAGGGCTGTGCAAAGGATTGCAAACAGAACATGGGGTATCTTGGGGCGGGAGGAGGCCTTGGGAGGCCTGAGTCAGGTGGGCTTATGCCTGCACTGGGCCCCTTGGATTTCCCCTACCCATGAGGCACCCTATATTCCACTTAACACCATGCATTTTTTAAACAAATGCATCGAGGAGATCAGGAATGGGAGTTATTAAGACAAGTGGTTCACTTAACAATTGTAATGGGCAGACTTCATTATAGTCATTTCTTGAAGACTACCTGCATAGAACTTTATCCTGATCATGATCGTTTTTATTTAAAAATATCTAAAAGAATGAATTTATCATTAAAGTGTCACAACCAGAAAGCCCTTCCTCACTTTCTCTTTAACTCTGTGAGTGCCCTCAAAATCTCTTGAGGATTTAGAGACCTTCTGAAGTTGGATTTTAAAATGTAAGAATGCCTTTTCCTCTGTCTAAAGACAATGCATTTCAGTTTATTTTAAATAAGGCTACTTCATAACTATTTATTTGGAATATATGCATTTTGCCTTCTAAACCTGGCAGGCCTTCAAATAGCTTTCAACGTTTTAAAAAATGCAATCCCCCCCAAACAGAAATTCTACTTCATAACAACACAAATGCATAATTGTTACATTGATATTTAAGAACAGTGCTTGATATCTAATTTATATTTGTGTGTTTTAGTGCCATTCTTTCATCATACTTCTTAAATGAAAAGCTTAATTTACATGGAAAAATTGGGTGTTTGTTAAGCATACTTGGTTCCACTGTGATGGTCATTCATGCACCTCAGGAAGAGGAAGTTGAAACATTGAGTGAAATCTCCCACAAGTTAGGTGATCCAGGTGAGAGAAAGATTGATTACAAAGAATTCAAGGAGATAATACTTCTCTACTCAATTGAGGAATATAAATGGTGGGGCAGGCTAACCCTGCTGCAAATATCCCTTCACATTCCACTAGAGTTCTGCATGGGATTTGTAACTGTATTTTGTTGCATGTATCTAACTACCCCACAACTGGACCTAGTAAGACAGGATTATCAATGAGGTTTTCCGAATGCTTTTAGCTGAATGTGCTTACAGAGCTCATGTGCACTTTGCTCAATAAACAAGAATCTGAAGAGACATTTGTGAATGTTGAGAATGAGGTTGGAGTACATCTTTAATGCCATAGCTCATTTTTAACTCTAGCCTATGTTCTCTGAACGCTTATGGAAGACTATTAAATGGCTTAGCGCTGCAAAGTTATAGCAATAAATAGCTTAGACAGACAGTAACTATGACACACTTTATTGTAAGATTTCCTTTTTTCCTGCAGCCTTTGAGCTATCAGAATGGCTTTGATGTATCCAGCAGAGAGAAGCATTCCTCCAATTTTCACTGGGAGTCAACATAGGTTTAGTTGACAGCTAGAATTAAGAAGGTTTTACGTACCCTCATGAAATGATATATGTGTTCTGAATGATGCAAAAATTAAAACTGCATTATTAGTAAAGGTTAGATAGGGCATGGATATTTTTGATGCATTCCTATCTTTAACTCAGGGATGGGCTACTTGAATGTTGTACATAACTCTCCCCCCACCCTCATTATTTCATCAAATTTGGCAAAATGCATAAATTTGGAGATGTTACAACCTACAGTGAGGGAAAAAAATATTTGATCCCCTATTGATTTTGTACATTTGCCCACTGACAAAGAAAAGATCAGTCTAAAATTTTAATGGTAGATTCATTTTAACAGTAAGAGACAGAATAACAACAAAAAAATCCAGAAAAATGCATTTCAAAAAAGTATACAAATTGATTTGCATTTTAATGAGTAAAATAAGTATTTGTTCCCCTATCAATCAGCAAGATTTCTGGCTCCCAGGTGTCTTTTATACAGGTAACGAGCTGATATTAGGAGCACTCTCTTAAAGGGAGTGCTCCTAATCTCAACTTGTTACCTATATAAAAGACACCTGTCCACAGAAGCAATCAATCAATCAGATTCTAAACTCTCCACCATGGCCAAGACCAAAGAGCTGTCCAAGGATGTCAGGGACAAGATTGTAGACCTACACAAGGCTGGAATGGGCTACAAGACTATCGCCAAGCAGCTTGGTGAGAAGGTGACAACAGTTGGCACGATTATTTGCAAATGGAAGAAACACGAAATAACTGACAATCTGCCTCGGTCTGGGGCTCATGAGAACGGTAAGGAATCAGTCCAGAACTACACAGGAGGATCTTGTCAATGATTTGAAGGCAGCTGGGACCATAGTCACCAAGAAAATAATTGGTAACACACTACGCCATGAAGGACTGAAATCCTGCGGTGCCCGCAAGGTCCCCCTGCTCAAGAAAGCACATGTACAGGCCAATGAACATCTGAATGATTCAGAAGAGAACTGGGTGAAAGTGTTATGGTCAGATGAGACCAAAATCGAGCTCTTTAAAATCAACTCAACTTGCTGTGTTTGGAGGAGGAGAAATGCTGCCTATGACCCCAAGAACACCATCCCCACTGTGAAACATGGGGGTGGAAACATTATGCTTTGGGGGTGTTTTTCTGCTAAGGGGACAGGACAACTTCACCGCATCAAAGGGTCGATGGACCAGACCATGTACCGTCAAATTTTGGGTGAGAACCTCCTTCCTTTAGCCAGGGCATTGAAAATGGGTTGTGGATGGGTATTCCAGCATGGCAATGACCCAAAACACAACAGCCAAGGCAACAAAGGAGTAGTTTAAGAAGAAGCACATTAAGGTCATGGGGTGGCCTAGCCAGTCTCCAAACCTTAATCTCATAGAAAATCTGTGGAGGAAGCTGAAGGTTTGAGCTGTCTTTAACATTTCAGCCTTGAAACTTTAATGACTTGGAAAGGATCTGCAAAGGGGAGTGAGACAAAATCCCTCCTGAGATGTGTGCAAACCTGGTGGCCAACTACAAGAAACATCTGACCTCTGTGATTGCCAACAAGGGTTTTGCCACCAAGTACTAAGTCATGTTTTGCGAAGAGGTCAAATACTTATTTCACTCATTAAAATGATAACTTTTTAAAAATGCGTTTTTCTGGATTTTTTTTGTTGTTATTCTGTCTCTCACTGTTAAAATAAACTTACCATTAAAATTATAGACTGATCATTTCTTTGTCAATGGCAAACAGATAAAATCACTGTATATACTGAAAATATACATATTAAACCTATACACATCTACTGTCCTCAACTTCCTTCCCTACCCCACCCACAAAAGGAAATATCACCACTCTATAAAATATAACTTAGTCATATTGATTTTGTGTCTTTCTTTAGCTTTTAGCTAATCATACAACCTTTGACAGACTCCAGATGTTTGTATGTGTTACTACTTAGTATGTGCAATTGCAGCATGCCATGTTTGTTTTTTAATATTTCAGGTTTTGTGGTCTTTGCAACACTCATTGTCATTGTATCCTTGATCATGATCTTTGTAGTAGGACCCCGACATGGGCAGACCAACATTCTTGTGTACATAACAATTTGCTCAGTCATTGGAGCTTTATCCGTATCCTGTGTAAAAGGTTTGGGCATTGCTATAAAGGAACTTTTTGCAGGAAAAGCTGTGCTGAAACATCCATTGGCCTGGATTCTGCTGCTAAGTCTTATTGCTTGTGTAAGCACACAGATTAATTATTTAAATCGGGCCCTGGACATATTCAACACTTCTATAGTGACACCAATCTATTATGTGTTTTTCACAACATCTGTTTTAACCTGTTCTGCGATCCTCTTCAAGGAATGGCAACACATGGCAGCTGATGACATTATTGGCACATTTTGTGGCTTTATCACTATAATCGTGGGGATATTTTTATTGCATGCCTTTAAGGATGTCAGTTTTTCCCTATCAAATTTGCCTGTGACATTGCATAAAGATAACAAAGGAATAAATGGCTGTGTGCCAAGCACATATGAACTATTTAATCACGATGAAGGAAGTGCTACTCGCATAAGTGACCTACACTCCCCTGATGGAATATCTTCTAGGAGAAATGGAAATCTATCAGCTTCCTAAAGAAAACAATTCTGTAACTTTTGTTTCATTGTGAAAAGCCAGTTTTACAACATTTTTCAAGCAGATATGTTTAAATAGCACTGTAGACAATCATTTTTTTAGATTTGACTAGCTTGGACCAAGAGCAGTGGTGGATTTTTATTTGCCTTACTCTTAATTTAAAAATACTAAAGAACCTCACTCTGTTATTTGCTTGACTTAGTATGAACATGTAAATATTCTGTTTTTGTTTAAGACTAATTACAGTTTTAACAAATAAAATGCTTTATTTCTGATGAGAAAGTGATCTGTTGGTCATGCACACCTACAAATCTTTTGTGATAATTTGGTGAATTATGCAGTGACTTGTTCTTATTATGAGACAGTGCTATTCATCCATAAACAATCTATGTTTGGACAATTTATGGTCAGCTGCACTCAATTATACTAGATTCTAGGAGATTTGCAGTTGCAGCCAATGTATTTATATTTCATCAATGAACCAGACATTCCTGAGGAACAAGACAAGTGATATCAGCTCACAAAGGTCATTACATAGAAAAATGCTATTTTAAGAAAGTACCTAGGTGTAAACCATGTTTGTATATATTAGCACATACCTGAAACACACACAAATACTTAGTGGTTTCAAGTATTTAAAATGCTTCATGTTGAGATTACTATTGGATAATGCATAACAATTGGCAAATTTATTCATTCCGTTATTGAAAGTAGGAGGAAAGAATAAAATAAACTGTTGCCTTATTTTCCCTTTCCAGTCTTTCTACTGTAACAACTATTACCTATATGGTTTGACTCTGTTCTTCTGGAACACCAAATGCAATAAAAAATTCATGTACCTTTCTACTCCCTCTAAAGCAGAGACAAATCAGCAGGTAGAAGCCAGGCTTAGAGGTGTTTGCAAAATGGAGGAATGCCTGTAGATTATGTGTCAGCCTCCATGTGGAAGAGAAAAAAATTGAGAAGCTGACCTTCAAAATTGGGAAGGTGGAAGCTAACTGACCGAGCTGGGAAAAGGTTAGATGAGAATGAATTAAATAACATCCTGATAAAATGCAATAGGAAGAGAGCATCAAATGCTAATTGTTTAATCTACTTTCATCAGTTTAGCAGTTGATTGTATTCAGAGTTAGGAAAAAAGTCTCAAAATGTTTGAAAGAACAAAAATGCAATGAAATTAAATTTTAGTTAATGACTGAAGCATCTGTTGTGGGAAATAGTGTGGATTATTGTAGCAGTTTTTAGGTGTTCTGCAATACAGGTAATTATATACCAACCAATCAATAACTCTGTTGGTAAGTGACAAAGTAATTAGATGTGATGTCATGTGGCTGGCAGCTTATGATAGTTGTGGCAGTTCCAGTTGTCATCATTATGCAAGTTCCACCCAATCATAGTGTCTCATAGTCACATGATAGCCATTTGCAGGGCTCACCTTCTCCTGCTGGCTTCCCCACTGACTTTGCTTGTTAGAAGTAAACACTGAAGACTGCAAACAGTGATCATGTGACTGCAGGATGTTGTAAAGGCCACAATCATGAGACCTGATAGTAGGTATTCCTTGTTTAACACCATAATGAGGAAAGATTGCCAAACAAGTAAACATTAAATCAGGACTATCCATATAATCTTTTTAAGCAGGGATAGGCAATCTTTTAATTGGAAGTGCTGCAGTGAGCAGACATATATAATGAAAATGAATAGAATAATGACTTCCCATTATTCTTTATTTCTGGGGGGTATCCCAAGTTATTTTAACATTTAGAAAATAAATTTATGGTAGCATTCCGTAACATTACAGTGGGACTGAATAGTTCAAAATTTATCACATTGTGTTAACCAGGCTAAATATTTTGTGAACTTAGGTATTTGTTTCCTGCTTCAAATTAGAATGAAACTTTTATGGCTATGAGTTGATTATTTCTGCTCTTAGGTATGATAATCTATAGTCTTAGAATAGTTTGCATTGTATTAAAATTTTAATATTACTGCCTACATTATAAATACAATTAGGCTACTTAGAAAATTGGATAGAGATAATCTCTCTTACAAACATGTCATAACTTGATACATAATTGAAACAGTGATTCTTAGACCAGGAAAGCCAAACAATACTTTAAAATTACAGTAACATTTAATTCAAAATTTTGAGAGAACTAACAGAGAAAAACCCTTAGAAAACTGTTAACTATTGAATCATGACTCATCAAAGTATAATTCTTGAACAGTTAAAGAGTCTGAAGACAATTTTTCTAAAACTAAGCAACCCTTGAAACTGGTATAATTCTAAGCAGGTAAGTGTAAGTAAGTTGTGTTCCCTACATACCATTTCACAATAATTCCACCTTCAACTTTATTTGCTTCTACTGAGATATAAAAACAGGATTCAGATACACCAATTATATTAGAAGCTAAAAAAAACAGAAGTCCTTTATTCTAAGGGTATTTACCGATTCCCTAAATCTGAATAAACATAAAGCATTAATGATTTCTATCTTACAATCATACTTTTAAAATCTCATTAAAATCTTTTATTTCCAAAGCTGATTACATTATGGGGTAAAATAGTTTTCTAAAGAGAACATTCTATTGATTAAAAAATAGCAAATGGAGTGTCTTTAAAAGGTAAGCTGAATAGCTTAATACTTTTCTTATACAAAAACTTTTCAAGCATACTCCTATAATAAAACTCATTTTAGTTAGCAAAAGTAAATAAAGATCCCTTATATTAATCCTTTAAAACAATTATAAAAACTGGAGAAACGCAAAGATTTATGCCTAAAATAGTTGCACTGCAAAGTTTTATAAAAAGTATTTAAAAAGTAGTCTAAAAACTTAAATTCATGTACAGTCATTGAGTTTGAAAACAACCATTCAAACGTTTTAGTTGATCCTGGAAAGCAATGAAGATCAGGGCAGGCTCCCTTAAGCAACAAATCTAGTTTCAAAATGTGCTGCAACTAACCATTGTTTCCAAAAGATCACAGATCTTTTCTAGTTGCTAGCCAAAGACTGGTGAATGGGAGGTTGGAAACAGCGGACATGTTCCACCGGTGTGCTTTCTCCATCACCAGATTTCAAATACTTGTCCAGTGTGGCAATAACTTCATCATTCAGGATCTGGAACTTGCGAATTCTCTCAACCATTTTTTTTAAAGGCTACAAAACCAAAATTATAATCAGAAAAAGGCAATGACACCAAATGAAATACAAAGTGAAAAATAAATCTCGGTCAAACCTACCACATTCTTGATTACTTCATCTTTGCCATCATGCTTCTGTACTTTCAGTAAGTGATAACAGAAATCAAGCACATCAAATCGACGCTGCTGTCCTAAGAGCACAATAATCATACAGCCAGCCCAATGCAGCCCATCTCCAAAACACTGTCTGCAAAGTAAAAGTGTAGAGAAAGCACTACATGATATTCAGTAGGGTAAATCAAGATACTGGATTTATTCCCAATCCCAAGTCTTGTCACTAACTTGCCCAGAATAACATTGACTGAATGTTTTGCAGAGTTTTACAATATGTTTTTATTATATGGCACTGCTATTAAGTAGGCAGTCAAAGACTAAACTTCAGAAATGGGTAGGGCAGAGTCCATTTAGGATGGGATTTCAGATTTAGGGGTGAAATGGATGCCTTAAAACATTTGTCCCTATAACCTAATTAAAAATGTGAAGAAAGAGCCAAATATTGGATTTTATTTTGTGTTGTCTTTTTTGGATTCTGTCTACTTCGTGGTGGCTTTTTGGGGATCAAAAAAATGTAGCCATTTCTGCATCTCTGCCTAATATTACTGTATGCTATCTTTGCCTCTAAAGAAAGAATTACAGGACAACAGAACCCCCCCAAAATTAAAAACAAAACTGATTTGAAATCTCCAAAGTTTAGATGCTGAAAAACAAAGAATCACTGTAATCATAATCAATGTGTATCATTAGATTATCATTTTTGCATTTATCAAACTACATTTAAAATAGTATTTTAACATGTTAGTCTAAAAGACGGGTGTCAAACTCGATTGCGTCATGTGACGTATCATGATGTATCGTGACGTTTTTGCCTTTGCTGAGCCCAGGTGGGCATGGCCTGCGCATGACATCCAGCCCGCGGGCCGCCAATTTGACACCCCTGGTCTAACATTAAAATTAAAATTATTAAAGGCTTAATACTGATCATCCAAATGCATTTGAGTAACGCAGCTGTATTAACATTAATATATGGTTTACTGATATTTGCAAAGGAATTAAGAATTTACTGATACAGTAAATTCTTAATTCCTTTGTTGTATCATAGCCACATCTAACTTCTGAAATAAAAATAAAGCACTAATAGCAAAGCCTTTGCCAGCATTTGAATACATACTCCACAGTAAATTCATGGGTTCCCACTGGAATACAGTATACAAACTGCATTGCACTCCACAGGCGGTGAAATTCTACACACTCATCTACGTGCATCACACCATTGCTAGGGAGAGGGCCACGCCATATGGGATCATCCAGGAACATTCGAATCCTTGTTAAGATGACTTCAAACATAGAAAGTCCACAGCAGAGACGCTCCTTGGTTAGCAAATCTCCTTCTCTTGCAATGGCAATTTGCTATAATTGCAACCAACAATACAGTTTCAGTCTATAAGAACTTATTAACATGAAAATGAGCTACTGAGTTTCAAATAGGATGGAAAATGATACTTTGTCATCCTAGTTTAAATTGTTTTTATGACTGAAATTTAGATGAAAGTCATACAAAATGTATAATAAAAATGAACTAAAACTTGAAAGAAAAATAAAATATATATAGTATTAACATATAACTCACTCTTTTACTAAATTAAATCTACATGATAAAGAAATACAGGTAATACCCGAGTTACAAGCATTCACTTAATGTTCGTTTGAAGTTATGTGACCAGCGCCCCCTAGTATTTACGAGAAAATCCCAAAATTACAAATATTGCAGCACCACGGCAGTCGTTCGCCTTTATGAGCAACCGCAGAGGCTCTGCAACATTCATGCTATTCCTCCCCTCCCCACAACTGCTTCCCCCTCCCTTCCTGCCGCACCAACTCACTTATCTTGCAAAATCTGTCTCCTCTCTGCTGCAGTTTCTTTCCCTTTGAGGGAGAGGAGAGTCAGCTTGGAAATATTTTTCGTGCCGAGAATGGAACCAAATGTTTATCCATCAGTTGCAACAGGAATTGATCAAGCGGCTTGTTGCCTAGCCCAGAAGTGGGCAATTAATTTTCCCAATGAGACATAGAAGAAACTGGGACTGATGCAGACGGTCATTCTCCTTTCTCCCCATCACCAATACCCTGCCCACCACCCAGCTCTGTGCCAATACTGCCTCTCCCCCTGCTGATGCCCTGCCCCCCACTGATACTCCCTCCACTGACACTGATGCAGGCTGGACAGGGACAGCCCAGACCAAATATGGCTGGCAAGCTGTAAAATGCCCAGGTCTGCCTGAGCCTGATGTGGGTTGAGAGTGACTGGCCCAAAGTTACCCAGTTGGCTTTCAAGCATAAGGCAGGACTAGAACTCATGACCTACTGGTTTTGAGCATGGTGCCTTAACCACTAGACTAAATTTGCTCTCAACATTCCAAATACATCTGTGTATCTCAAAGAAAGCAGCACAAAATATTGACAAAATATTCCTTAAGCTATCTTAAGCAAGTCTTTTTTCTCATGAATGGAATTGATAAATAAGAATGTTATTTTCTTTTGGAACATATGAAAATTGAATATGCTCATTCTAGGGTTTTTCTCCCAATAAGAGGAAAATAATGTTTTGTTAAAACCTTAAATATATGTAAGTAAAAAAATGGAAAATTATCTTTGATTCTCACTAATTCATATAGGCATATTTGTGCAGTTTCTTGATATAGTATGAAAACAATTTGCACTGCCTTTTGTTTCAGTTTCCCAGTTTACTTTG